AAATACTTTTTAAACTCTAATCCTATACTAAAAAAGCAATATTCAAATGTCTAGAAATTACACATTTTCAGGTGGCTTTGAATACTGTAAAAATAGTAATAATATTTGTGTTTGTTAAGAGTTTTATCTACTGATAATCTATATGAAATATAAAAATTATGTGCCATATATTTTTTGTTTTTTAATATTTTAGACAGCACACTAGATATGACATTCGTTATATGCTATAAAGTTTGAAACATACGTGTATAAACTCATAATGTCAGATACGCATGATATGCGGCTATGCATAATATGCTCGTTTTTTGTATTAAAGAGCTATTAATGTGACTGCGGATTATACGCCGCATACGTACTATACCCGCATATTCAGGGTAGTTTACTATTTTTTGTTTTTAAGTTATAATTAAATTTTGTTTACAGTTTGAAAATATATTTTGTTTTCACTTTAAAAATCTAATTAAAATTGGAGTCTTAAGTTCCAGTATTATAATAAATTAATNACGTACTATACCCGCATATTCAGGGTAGTTTACTATTTTTTGTTTTTAAGTTATAATTAAATTTTGTTTACAGTTTGAAAATATATTTTGTTTTCACTTTAAAAATCTAATTAAAATTGGAGTCTTAAGTTCCAGTATTATAATAAATTAATTAACAAATTAAATATAAATCAATAATTAATTATAAAGTACAGTTTACAATTTTTGTATATTTTGTATTCTACCGGTATAATATATAATTTAAAATAGCTAAACATGGTTTCCAATTATTAATAACAAATATATAGATAGTTAATTTTTTTATTAAAAATGTGTACGGTAGTTTATAGTTTTTTAATTGCATAAATACATTTAGTTTTATTTTTCTAATAAATTTTTAAATCTCAAACTGTACTAAAATTAAAATTAGCTATTATATTTAAATGATAAGTTTATAAAATAATTTACGGAAAGTTAAAATTAAAATTATTTAATACTTTTATTATTTAAAATAGTTATTAAAACTAAACAGTTGCTTATTGTAAGTTTATCTCATCTATCATAAATAAATTAAAGTAAAATAAACATAAACTTTCATTTTCAAATTGAAAGCATGGTTATTTTTCTTCGTCTACAGTTAATGTTGCCAACCCTCCAGTTTTTGCCTGAAGTCTCCAGGAATCGGGAGTTCAACACAGACTTCAGTTTGAGTTCTGGCCTGGATATGGGGAACTCCAGGAAAAAATTCTTAACATTTTTAAACTAAAAATACATATTTCAATATAAGATTATATCACTTTTGTATAATAAATAGTTACTTTTGATACTCTAAACTAAATAATTTTACTAAAGAGTTAGACTAAATAAATAATAGTTTTAGTGAAACATTTATCAATTATTTTAGACCTAAAAATTATATTTTATAAAATAATAAAATTATTGATAATATAGTAATGTTAACAAATATTTAATAATTATGCAATAGTATGTTAAAATAATATAAACAGAACATAACGTAGTCCGAGTGATAAAAATCATTTAATTTTACTCTATTTAATATAATAAATAATAGCATAAAATATTCCATATTATAAAAGATTCAGATCTATTTTACTATAGTTTTCTATAAATTTTAAAAATGTAAAAGGGTTAATTTAGTAAAAATTATTAAAAATGAACTTTTATTTCATTATAATTAAATTACTATTAATTTAATTTATATAAACTCACTTGTTTTGAATTAATATTATACATTAAAATCTTCATAAATAATTGTTTCCTGTTAATTTAAATTAATTAGCTATTTCTCCAGGATTCTCCAGGAAATTGGAGCTGAATTTATGTAAATCTCTAGGGTGAAAATTTTTATAGTTGGCAACACTATCTACAGTATAACTATATATAATTATATTTATTAATCAAGTAAATATTTAACACTTAAAATATACAAATATTTTATCAAAAATTTAATTTTAAAAAATACTTTCCTGACAGATATAACCATAAGTTTTGTAATTTATAAACATACCTAATAATTATCACATTTGTTTAATTATTATTATTGAATAGTTAATTTGTTTTAAAAGCAAAAAATAATTTATATCACATTTGATTTAGATATACATGTATATTAAAAAATAATTGTCGTTCAAATACATGCATTTTGTATACATTTTTAATGTCTAAACAGTTTGTGTTGTTATCTATTTATTCATGCATTTAATAGACTTATAGATATAATAATGTCTATTAATACAGCGAAACACTTTTTATAGTGAAGTCATGTGTATATAATGGACACCCTGTATATCGATAGTATAGTATAACTACAATGTGTTTGTAATCAATAACTTGTTACATAATTTTTAATTCGCAATGTTTAACTTGTAATCAAAATAATCACAAATATTTTATAATATCTAATAATTTTACATAAAATACAATTCACTGTAAAGTACAGCACCTGTAGTCTATGTACTGGTATAGTATACTATCTATGACAGGAACAGCACATACACACCCCCTAGTTATGGGTGTCTATGTGTTAACTCACACATCAATATAAACTGTTTATAATAATAATGAGTTTGTTTAATAAAATTAGCAAAAAATCATTTAAATGTATTAAGCTATTTAAATTATGGCAAACTATTACCAATTACAGGGTTGCGCAATAATAATTGCCCATATTTTACGCCTAATTAACTGCGATCTCAGCCCTACTACCGGTGCCTGTGATGTCGACGCGATTAGAAAAGTGTGTATTTTACAAGTAAATAGTCAATGGCCATTGGCATTAAACGTCACTGGTCACTCTACTAAGCAATTATGCTGCTGGCACTGGGATGTGTCCGACTGTGTATTATTAGCCGTATGCGAGACGTGTACTGTCAAGGAGTATAACGTGGTACATAAGGAATGCGATTTGATCAAGCAAGGTTTGATGAATACAACTTGCCTGGATTACCCGTATGGGTCCAATAGTTGTCATTATACGCTAGGTTTCTATGCGATTGTGTTTTATGTGATATGTTTTGTAATAAGCGCCCTGTATTTGGTGTATACCTATGCTGTAAGGTATAGGGAGTGTAAAAGGGAGTAAATATTTTATTTAATTATTAAAACTATTTTTTATATAAATATGTTTTATAATAAATTTTATATGAAAACTGTAAAGTGAATGTATGACTTTTGTAAACTGTAATTTTTATTACTTTTTATGATTTATTTTTAATGACATTGTAATTAAAATAAACTGGAACCCAATGGGAAACCCCAATTACTTTTTGTTCTAGTCTTATGATAATTGATCGAGTTATTTTAGTTAAATAATCAAGTAAATGTAAATACCATAAATATCTATTAATTAATATTTTGTCAATTAATGCAACACAATTAAATTATGATATTTAAATTTATAGATTTAAAACAATTTTTTATTAAATTCCCATAAATAGTATTTAAAGCAATCACATAAAATACTAAAATATATTTATGTGCTTTCATATTATTTCCTATTTAATTTAATTATAAGTTTGACAGTAAAAGCTGTAAATTATTTTGTTTAAAAATATTATACCTAGTAACTTATTTAATTAGGTTTTTTATTGGTGACTAACAATGAGTGGAAATTATTAAACATTTAATTTTTGAGAATTTGTATTTATTAATTTGACATAATAATTACATTTTTGTTAGTAATGGGACACAATGGTTACAATGAACAAGCACAAAACATAAATCATTGGCTATAATCACATTAAACGAGGTACACTAAATACAGACACACAATTGTATACAATAGACACAAATAGGATTAATTCGAGTTATAAATTAGTTCTTGATGAGACAATAAAATAATTAATTAACTAAATCTACTACATAACAACAACACCCTGGCCACTTATTAACAATCAGCTCCACCGGTGCCCGTACGCCTAACCACTCGGGTTCCTAGGTTAAATAAATATAATATCGCAATTTAGCATACAATTAACAACATTTTGATACATGCTAACCATGCTAAGTCTAGAAAATTGACACTGGCTATACTAACACTTACGCGGTGATCTGGCATTATTATTGCGCCTAGCTCGGTTTGCTTGTCGACCCCGATTATTACTACCACCTCGACCACCACCACCACGTTGACCATTAATTCGCCTAGATTGATTTTGTCCACCGCGTGCACGTTGATTATTTGACCTGGCACGATTAGCACCTCTATTTCCACCACGATTATTCGACCTGGCACGATTCATTTGACCGCTACGTGCTCCACGTTGACCTCCCCTATTAGCCGTACGTGACCTTGTTGCACCACGTGCCCTGTTACCACCACCACCACGGTTACTATTACTTCTAGCACCACCACGACCACCATTACCCCTGGACCTACTACCACCACGTGCCCGGGTACCAGACTGCCTAGGTCGTCTACTACGGGTGGCACCCTGCGGGTTAGCCCGGACCACTTGCACCGGGGGCTGGGGCGTGCCAAATATCATATTGCCCATACGGGTACCAATATCATTCTCAAACCCCCTGACTCTGGCACCGCGTAATCGTTGCCCCAGCGACGGCTTTCCAAACATACCCTGAGGGTCTTCGCTACCGCCCCCTGAGCTACAACACCCGCCCCCACTACCAGTCGATGGACAGCAGCAGTCGGTTGAACAACCGTCCTCTGAGTCGTCCTCTTCGTCCTCGTCATCATCTTCGTCGTCGACGTTGTTGTCGCCATAGGAGGGCGTACTATAGCCTCCCTGTCCACCATAGCCGCCACCACCACCGCCTCCCTGTTGGCCATACCCGCCACCACTGGGCGCCCCATAACCGCCCCCTCCACTGGCAGGGGCTCCATAGCTGCCACCAGCGCTCGTACCTCCGTAGCTACCAGTGCTGGGCATACCGTAGCCCGAGCTGCCACCCCCTCCACCGTAAGTACTGCCACCTCCACCACCACCAGAGGCACTGTAGCCGTAGCCCGAGCTGTCCGACCCCTGACCCCCCGACACGTCGCTGACTATACACAGTAATAGTGTCGACAAACACAGGCTTTTGATAAGCATTTTGTTGTTATTTATAATAAAAAGTTTTTAGAAACTTATGAACAGTTAATATGAAAAATAAAATTAGTTTTAAAACATTTATAAAAATAAGAAGTTTTTTCAAAACATTTATGTGTTTAACATATTATAATAAAAAACTTTTAGTTGTTGTTGTTGTTTGTGTTAAAAGCACTGGTAGTCTAGGGTTGTATTGGTAATGACTGAGCCCTCCGACTACTAATGAGAAATAAAAACAAAAGTAATGCAAACCAAAGTATTTTAAAATGATTTTTTTGTCCCACAAATCGCATATTAGATTATAAGCGAACAAAATGTGTGTATATTTTGGTACCGAAAAATGTAAATCAATTGTTTTGTTTGTTATCACAAAAATCGCAATCATTTTTTGTATTGAAAGCGAGTAGTATTATAATTAGTCCTATTTTCACAATATTTGCACAAAAATTACAAAACAATATAATAAACATATTATGTATTAATTATATTATCGATGAAACAAAAAGTTATGTTTTTATTGAGTTTGTTGTCGAGACATAAATCACTTCCTATACCCTATTGTGAACTCTATGTACAGTACATACCCGGTTATAGGGTTAATAATTTTGTTTGTTATAATTAGCTATGTTAAAAAAATATTTATAATATAAAGCAGCATATTAATTAATTCAGTAGTTGTAAAGTTTTATTTTTTAAATTTATATTAATTAAAATAAACGTTTTATTAAATTCAATGGGAATTATTAAAAATATCTTTAAAAATTAATCGCAATAGTTTTATTATTATAACTTAAAATTTAAAGCTTTATAAAATAGTTATGCAATAGTATTTACTGTTAAACTATCAAATATTGCTTTGAAAAATAAATTTCAAAAATACTAATTTATTATATATACTATAAAAATATAATAACAACATATTTAATATTATGTAAGTAGTGTATTATTAATAAGTGTATATTATAACAGGTGTTAACTGTATGTCAATGTCTACTCGTTATTCATAATTAGGAAAATCACTTCATTTTGTGTCTCATCTTATCTATCGGTCGATCTGTTTGAGTAAAAACACATGAATAGGAAAAATATGTTTATTTTTAATTATATCTATCGTTGCCTGTATTGACGACAATATTATTCTCATCGATAAAGTAATTGATTGTAAAAAATACTATATTTTATATAATATTTGTTTTGAATTTAATTTGTTTTTTTGTGTACATTGTGAACTATAATATAGTTTAAAAGTTTATTGTAATTATTGATAGAAAAACGTTGAATGTTATTTGATTTTAGCATAATATTTAAAAAACTAATTTTTGAAACTAAGTAGCAAATTGCCTGTTCGCAAAATAGATATTGATAATTCTGATAATACAGTATTTTTCTACATAAAATTACTAACAATTTGCAATAATAAAAATAACCGAATGACCACTATTAGTATTTTATATT